GTGCTGCATACTTGGGTGCACTTATCTTCTTCGCCAGCTCAGCTCCAGGCGTACGTCCTCCATCCTCCTACCTGATGATCCCCAAGCAATTTCTCTAACAAATATATACAGATTGTGAGCCAGGTTTTCTCCGAGAAGCGACCCCTTGACACTATCGCTGTCGGCGCCGTCTCGAGAGTGTTCGAGACTGTTGGACTCAGTTTGTTCCTCACCTGGTGGGGAACGCGCACTCACCCCTTCAACTAAAGTATAGGAGATTGTGAGATGAAACATGCAAGAACTTCTGGCCGGTTGTGATCGGATGTACTACTGAAGCTTGCGATTAAATGGCTAATGGATGTAAATTTACACGAATATGACATCGATGTATTCCAATTTTCCTTTTTACTGTAGCATGTGGCCTGAGTTATGTTTGCGCTAGACATGGCTGTTATAACGGCCGTTATAACTTAAACTCACTTCAAGCGTACATTGCCACTGACCATCTAACAGTTCTGGCATAGATGTAGGTCCATATTTCAAGGTTATCGATCAATTAGGTAAAATGAACCCACATGGATCGTCCAGTCCCAGACGAGAAAAAGTCCCCACGCAGGCTTGGTACCTTTGTATATAGCAATATTTAGATATCACATATATTATAAGGCACCTATTAGTCTTCAATGTCTACCCTACTATGTTAATAAGAACAGGATATTGATCTACATTCGCACGGACCCAAACTTGTTTTGGCTTGCCTATATAACGTTCAGGGTTATACAATGCAGATGATAGACAAGAGATAGACTTACACCAAATAAAAAAATCTCTACAATTCCATCCATTCAATTTTGACTCTTATATTTGAGCCATTTAATAGGCAAATCGCCACTCAACCAATCATGTGATCCTTCTGGGTCGAATTCGCGATAAGCTACAGATCCCCCACTAAAAACTTTCTCGGTCAACAATTCCCAAATATCAACAATTCACAAATATCCCACAATGATAGAAATACCGATGCCAACTCTTCCGGGCCCAGAATCGAGCCCACCATCCAGTCCAGATGGACTCACAATCAGCGAATCCCTGGCCCCTACGCGAGTACTGAAAGCTGTGATGACCACAGGCGTCTCATTCGACGGACTCCTGAAAGAACCATTGCTATTAAAAGAAGACCTGAAAGATGGATGTGGTGGCCAATTATGGCCAGCAGGTATGGCTTTGGCCAAATACCTTCTCAGTCGTCACGCCGCTGATCTATCTGACAAAACAATGTGAGCGCTCACTCAGCTGGGCTTCTCTTCTCGTTTCGTCCTAATCCAATATTTAACAGCGTGGAACTCGGAGCTGGAGGTGGCCTTGTTGGACTCGCAATGGCACGCGGGTGTCATCTCGAACACCCGATTTATATCACAGACCAACAACCTATGTTTTCCTTAATGAAGTCCAACATTCAACTAAACAATCTCGGCCCGAAAGCGACTGCTGCGATACTAAACTGGGGAGAACCGATCCCAAACCAGATTCCTTCGAGACCAGATGTCATCATCGCTGCAGACTGCGTCTATTTCGAGCCGGCTTTCCCTCTCTTGATCACCACGCTCCAGGACCTCCTGGGACCCAACTCGGTCTGTTACTTTTGTTACAAGCGTCGCAGACGTGCCGACATGCGGTTCATGAAGATGGCGAAAAAGGCTTTCGAAATGGAGCCGGTCCTGGATGATCCTGGGGCTGACGGGTATAATAGAGAGAACATATTCCTCTACACGATACGTGCCAAACGTGATCAGAAAAAGTGAACACATGATGATATGTGCAATGCTAGAAAATAGATTTTATGTAGTAGAAAATATGACTCCTGAATGGTACATACTGGCCCTTTAAATTTCAACCCCCTCACAATTTCAGATTGTCTCCTCTGTTTTTGGCGCTCTCGTGGACAGAGCCACCGTCGATATTCGTCATACGGCCCTCCTTGTCAATAACCTTGACCCCTCCCTTCTTCAGGTCTGAAATCATCTGCTGCTTCTCAGCCGCCTTGCCAGTCTTTTGCTCAGTGGGCTTGCCAGCATCGGCCTTCTTTTGCGTTTGCTTATTCTGGCGTCTGTTCTTGGCCTTCTGCTCACGGGTCATCTCCTCCTTGGAGATAGACGCGCCGGTCTTGAGGACCACCTCGCCCTTAACTCGGCCACTGTCACCGGGTGTGTAGATCTCCTGTGGTGCAAGTCCAACAGGGCCACCGGCAGCACCGCCAGCCGTTGGGCGTGCCTCCTCCATCATGATTGTTGGCGCATCAGTAACGACGTTGATGCTTGCTTGGGCGACCTTAGGCTTGTAGTGCCAGTTGCATAGCGTATCCAGTTGAGAGCTGACCTCGTTCCAAAGACTGGTGATCTCGGCATGTTCGCGCATCAACTTGCGGTCCTTAGTATCCACGAAGTTGGGATCATTAGCGCGAAGATGCTCGGTTTCATACATCTCGGCCAGACCTTGCTCCGCCTTGGTATCAGCCAACTCGAAGCGGGGCTTCTTTCCGGGTTGCTGGCCTTCGGCACCTGGCCGACGGCGGATGACTTCGTCGAACTCCATGGCGAGAATTCGGCGCTTGATGAGTTCCTCGATGTCCTCGGTGGTCTCGTTGGTGTTGACGGGAACGGGTTTTCCAATTCGTTCAAAGTCAAGGTCTTCTTCAATAAGAGAATTGATGGGTCGCTCGACAGCTCTGGCCTCACCAGTATACATCCATTCTTTCTTGGCCACGTTGGCCGACTCCAGACGACGGATTTCATCTGCGATACGTGCCCTCTGCTTCTCATGTGTTGAGCGAGGAGCAGTAGGATCTGCGGATCCGTCAAGATCCTTCTCCTCTTCTTCGGCGGAGTCTGCATCGCCATCGTCAAACAAGTCCCGTCGAACGTCGTCCATAGCGCGTTTGACATCGTCCTCGTCGACTGCCGGTGCATCGGGTTGGGTTTTCGGGAGGGCGCGATGTTTCTTGTTGGAGGCTTTGCGGGGTGGAGGTGCGAAGAAATCGGCGTATTTGATATCACTGGTGTTAACCCAGTCGGCGGCTTCACCGTCATCCATGTCCGCAACGTCTTGATCATCGGAATCAGAGTCGCCGTGGAGATCAGCATTGCCGAAAGTTGGTCCTTCCTCCTCACTATCATCCATGTCTTCATCTTCCTTTTCTGTTGGGCGTGAATCCTTCGATTTATTGGTACTACGAATGGTCGCAGCATTTCCAGCCATCAACGGGTTCGAATGCCAGTCGAGATCCTCCTCATCGCTGTCTTCGGCCTGCTCAGGCCCTCCTGTGGCATCCTGTCTCTCCAAAGCCTCGGACTGCTTGTTGAAGTCGTCGATGGAGAAGAATCCGTCGTTCAGTCCAAATTTATCCTCGACAAATTCTTCGGGCTCTCCTTCGGCGGAGCCAATTGAGGAATTGGCATCATCTTCCATGTCTTCAATGTCTTCCATGTCTTCGTCAGATCCCATATCGACCTCTTGGTCAGATTCTGCGTCGAGATCGTCTTCGGCGCCTGATCCCTCGGAAAGATCTTCAAGCATGCTCTCGTGGCTGTCGCTGTCGCTTTGTGCACCCTCAGGGTCAGAGATATCCTCGAGCTGCTCGGAGTCGGCCGACTCGATGTAGCCGCCATGTTGGGAAATCAAAGTGATATCGCGCTCAATCTCGTCGCCAGTCGACTCGAGAATCCGTGTTGCTTGTTCCCATATTTGATTCGAGGTGAAGCCGTCCACGTAGAGGTTCTTCAATTGGAGCTGGGTGACTGAATCCGATTCGAGGGCTGATCTTTTGCGCTTTTTGTTGAGTTGCCGGCGAGTGGTCTGGGCGTCCACAACAGAGCCAGCGAGGGAATCAAGGATGTGCTTTGCAGAATCCACGACGGTGGTATGTAAATCGTTCGTGGGACGGAGGAACGCCCATGGCGAGGACAGAGCGGACGACAGAGCCATCTGTTCGGAAGGTTTGGCGGTATTAACCGATACAGACTTGGATTTAGACTGCCCTTTCGCCATTGTGAAAAGAGCCAGGCAATTTGTTGGAATACCAAGAGTCTCGAGAAGCCGAAAGCGCGATAGAAAAAATTATCGCCGGGCGGACGGTCGGGAGCCAATCACGTTGCTGGTTGATAAGATAAGGATCGCCAGTATATCTCTCGACCTGAGGTCTACTACAACATACAACTAGACCTGCTACTACTCTCTATACTGATTTACTATGGCTTCTTTTTGATGGAATCACTTCATATTCCATGGAAATGACCAAAGCTGAACTTTTGAGCCAAAACCATTGGAAACCACTCAAATATACTGGGTCTAAGGATTCATAGGTGTATATAGCACTTGGTCAATGTTTCCCCATTCTCTTTCTTAGGTCTCTTATAACAAAAAACAAGAGGAATATACCATGTTATTCCTATAGCGAGTGCATGTTAAAAAGCAAAATTTGGACTGTTGTATCTTCGAGCTGTCTAGGTGAAGAACGCCACCAACAAAGGCGGGCAAATGACGCCAAACGTCTGTCATACACTATTGATAACCTCGACGGCAAACGTGGCACAGAGGCAGTTTATAAATGGATATCGAAACAAAATAAAGAAGTGCCATCGAGGTAGCAAGTACCTTGTCCGATTGGACATACAGGTGTCCTTAGAATGGCCAACTCGTGGCTACAACAATGAAGGATCGAATAGTTCAGCGTGATCGATCAAACTACCGCCACAGAAAAAGTCTAGAACAGAGATGCTCTGGGTGGCTCATCACTATAGGCTGTATATCGCCTCAATATAGGCAAAGCTTGGAAGCAATGGAATGTAAGCAGACATCATTGTGACATTAATGGGCCCAGCTTTAGATATTGGTCGCCATATATCAATTTCCTTACTTAAATGGTGGTTTCCTACATAGAGAGCTATACCATATTTACAAATCTATACACAGAAGTTATCTACATTCACCACTCTTGTCCATATTCACGCCCTAAACCTGCCAATATGCCTGCTGGACAGTATATCGAGCGAGAGGCCAGTGGGTCTAAATCCCAGTTTGCGCCAGGTGAGTAAGTATTGCTTATCAAGTATTAGTTTCTAACATAATACTTCACCATATAGGCCATAAGATCCCTGTACAACACTTGTCAAAGCCGGGTCTGCAGTCTGACATGGGAGATCCCAAGCCTGTGTCTACTCATATTCCTACCGAGGATTACGGTTATCAGATCTACAAAGCTGCTGGAAAGCTCGAAGGAAAAAGAGCAATCATCACCGGAGGTGATTCTGGAATTGGCCGGGCAATTGCAATCTTGTACGCAATGGAGGGTGCGTCAAGTCTAATTGTTTACTTGCCAGAAGAGGAGTCGGATGCGCAAGTGACAAAGAAGAGAGTCGAAGAATATGGACAGAAATGCCACACTCTCGCTATCGACATCCGCAAGAAGGAGAATTGTCAGAAGATCATCAATATGGCCTTGGAAAAGATGGGTGGCATTGACATTCTTGTGAACAACGCCGCGTTCCAAGACATGCTGAGCGATATCAGCGAGCTCGATGAGTGAGTTGCCCAACATTGTTGCTCGGCCAATGTATCCTACTAACGCACCACAAGATCCCAGTGGGAGAAATCTTTCGAAACCAACATTCACTCATTCTTTTACCTCGCCAAGTATTCTCTTGTTCACATGAAGCAGGGAGCTACCATCATCAATTGCGCATCCGTCAATCCTTATATTGGCCGAGGCGATCTCCTGGATTACACCTCGACCAAAGGAGCAATTGTCGCATTTACTCGCGCTTTGTCAAACCAGCAGATAAAGAAAGGCATTCGGGTCAATTGTGTTTGCCCCGGTCCAAGTAGGTCCTCCGTATCTTTTTTTTTCCAAGTCAAATGCTAATAAGACCAAGTCTGGACGCCTCTGATTCCGGCCACAATGCAAACCGGGCCTATGGAACAGTTCCATACAGTGCCGATTGGTCGACCGGGTCAGCCTAGCGAGGTCGCAACATGTTTCGTTTTCCTCGCAAGCCAGGACAGCAGCTATATCTCCGGACAGTGTTTGCATCCCAACGGAGGTATGATGGTCAATGGATAGGGGGAAGCTGCAACGAATCAATTGTGCTGTTCCAGTGTTTTAAAAACTGTATAGATGGGAATCCACAGCATTCAAAACAACCTGACGGTCCCCGACTCATGTCGCTAATAATCTACGCCAAACACGTACACCGGAAGAAATAAACCACCGTAGATGGTGCCATGCATGCAATATCTGGTATCTTAGTGTCGCTTGTTGTGATTGTGACTGTACACTACCACTCGAGTGGAATCACTTTGCGTCATCAACTTCCTCCTTGGTAGCTTCCACACTAGGCGCATTGGCAACAATCTTCTGGACAGCGTCCACAGTCGCGTCTGGGCCACCGGCCTCGCGGAGCAAGACCTTACCCTTCTTATCCACGGCAAAGACGCCTCGCAATGTACCCTTGGGGGACTTCTTGAACCCAATAGCCGCAATAAGAGCGGCCTGGGGGTCACACATAAGAGGGTACGGTAGGTTTTGTCTTGTTTTGAACGTAGTGTTGGCCTTGTTGGAGTCGCTCGAAAGGCCGTAGATAGAAAGACCAGTAGAAGACAGGTGGGTGTAGTTATCACGGAACAAGCAAGCTTGCTTGGTACCTGGATGAAGCGGCGTAAGCAGTCTGCTGGAGTAGGATGGTTGCAAAGTATGCCAAGAACACAGCCCGGTCCTCTCAAGAGAAGCACTGAGCAGGACACAGGGACTTACAGCCAGGTGTTGAGGCTTTGGGGTAAGTAAAGAACACCACGCCCGACTTGCTCTCCTCGAGGAGCTTCTTCAAAGTTGTTTTTTCACCCTCATTGGTTTCAAACTCGCCACCGAAAGTTTCTATGTCGATTGTATCATCCACCTCAGGGACCTTTGGCGCGGGGCTTTTTTCAGTATTTTTATCGATAACATCTTCTTGTTTGGGCTTGGGAGCTTGTTTGGTCTTCTTCTCTGGGACGGGGAGTGGGACTGCCGCCTTGCGTTTCCTGAGTTCGACCATGATGTGGGGAAAAGGGGAAAAGGGGAAAAGGGGAAAAAGGAGAAAAGAAAAAAGACCCGGATAGAGCAATATATTGAATAGAGTTAATTGGACGTTCTGGAACATGTCAGCTGCATATCTGCCCGGTGCAGCGGCCTTGATTACATAAGCAGGAACCGGGAAAACCCGGTGGCGCTGTGGCGAGTGCTGTGGCGCTCCGAACGCGCCCTGGTCCTGACCCGAAGGGAAAAAAAAAAAGGATTTTCCCCTCAAGGTCGATCGTTAAAATCCACTCTTCTCCATTTTCTCTTTATCTGACTTACTCATATTTTGCCTCCCGACTTTCTTCATAGATTTAGACTTAATTCACTTTCTGCAAACTCCTTATCCCATCTCTCACTCTCATCTTGACTCAGCCTTTCTCTGCCCTCGGGTTCAAAACTACCAATTTATTCTATCCTATCCACCACAACGCTTGTCAAGGCTGTTCATCCAAATACCCTATTTCAAGATCACGCGACCCAACGGCATCGTTGAGGTAAACTGTGACTCGCCACTATGAAGGTCTTTTCTTCCGGATGCACATTCGACTACTCATGGGACGAAGTATCAACAGCGAACTGGCGCAAGTACTGTCCTTGGAATGATAAGTCTACACACGTCGTGGGTGTAGACACGCTCTCTCGAACCGTCGACCCAAGCACTGGAATTGTGAGTCATCCAACATTAAAGCAGAACTTCCGAAACATCCCGAAGCGTTTGTACTAACCTTTGCCTCTAGCTGCGAACTGAGCGTCTTATCACGTGCAATCAGTCTGTACCACAATGGGTTCTCTCGATTCTCGGTGGAACGAATACATCTCACGTCTACGAAATCTCTTATGTCGATCCGGTCGCAAAGAAGGTGACCATGTGCTCCACCAATCTGACATGGTCGAACGTCCTCAGCGTCCGCGAGACTGTTATCTACCGGCAATCCTCCCTTAACCCGGCCACCACGACCGAATTCAGCCAAGAAGCAAAAATCACCGCTCTCTGCGGTGGATGGCAAAAGATCAAGAACAAGGTTGAAGAGGCAAGCGTGGATCGTTTCCGTGAAAATGCCAAGATGGGCCGTGAAGGATTCGAAACCGTCCTCGAGATGAGCCGCCGCGTCTTCGGCGAACAACGCGAACTTGAAAAGCAAGGCCTCCAATCATGAGCGCCCCATACCGTCGATATACTTCCCGCAATCCTCTTCTCAACATGATATCTTGTTTTTATCCCTTCAGCATTCAACATCCAGCGACTGCATATACCGGCGTCTGTTTTGCATATTCGAGCATGTGGCGCCCAGTGGAGTTCCTTGTTTCAACCTGGCTTTTTCGATTCTCGACTCTTTCAACCTGTTCATGAATACCACCTTTCGCCTCACGAATCCGCATGGCCAAGAAAAGTTCTCAATTACCTCATTTCAAGCGAGTTGTCTTTATACCCTGCTTTTTGTACCGAGTAGCCCCAATCAAGAAGGCGGCACAGATGTATCATTAGAACCTTTCAAACTTAGATCTGAAATTCTATTATCGTACAACATTCACCTTGATAAATTCATATCTCATAATACACCCAACCATATGTCCTGTCAAAGCTGACCATGAACACCAGACCCAAATATACAGCGAACCCTTGCTGTTATCCCAATAAACCACCAAGTACCACCCGACTGACCCCAGCAACTTCGCTCTTGACGCCATTTCGGCTCGCGTCTTCGAACTCACGCACTGCGCCGGCCACCATGATCTTTCGTAACCTGGCATCTGCTTTGGAAAATGTTTCGCCCAGGGCCACCGTGCAGACAGCTGGAGATGATACTAGAGCAGTGAGCCGGCTATAAGTGTCAATCAAGACATCACATAAGGTTGCAAATGTCTCAAAGAAGTCCGGCTCGAATGGCAACGATGGCGTGAGAAGATAAGTATACTCCTCGCCAGGAAGAAGATCCGAAGACTCTGTGAGTGGGAAGGAGGTGACCGAGGCCGCCGCAGAGGAAGCCGACCCGAGATTCCCTGCCGTGCTCTTCAGATCTGATGGGTCGCTGGATTGCATTGGGAGTCCGATCTCGTTTGCAGAGCTCGCACGTCGGGTCTTGGTACCTGTATGTGTCGCCCGCTTGAACATTTGGGGTATACGGGCCCTTGCAAGACTTGACGAGGAGCTGCCATCTGGGGGATGCACTTGCTGGAATGTTTCGAATTCCAGTAATAAAGCATTCAGGGCACGTACATACTCGAACGGCGTGGAGTTAACATCTAGGATTGTTGGCAATGACAAGCCTAGAAGCAGATAATTGATTGCGCGGCGAGAAAGTTTCCGGGCTTCAAAGTATGGCAGGCGGGCGATGTCAGCCCGGGAGAAATGCACAGTATTAAACCAATAAACTCGTCCTTCGTGACTATATATAGCACCGTATGAATTAGTAGTGTTTAGGGTTGGCTGGAGTGTAATTCAACTTACGCCTTTCTCAAATAGTCGAGAGTCGCTATCCGTTTCGCGGCCATTTCATGGATATGTTGATAGATCGCGCCTGCACTTTGCGGGCCGAGAAGGCCCCCTCCGCTGATGACTGGAGGTGGGATGCCATATCCCCCTTCAAATCCACCACCGGACTTGGCTGTATCTCGCCGCGAGATGCTTGGGGCAAACGTAGAGGGGATCATTGGCGTTGGTGTGCAATTTCAGAGCAAAATAGAATGCGACACAGACGAAAGTGGATACGGGTCGGGAGCAGGACAAGGCGGAGGTGTCACAAAAGCCGAGAGAGCAAGAAACCGAATAGACCAGAATAGTTAATGCCTCAATATGTTGCCCTATGTTCAAAGGGTGAGCGTTCAGGAGATCCGGAGAGAAAGTTCCCCGCAAGACTGTGATGCCGAAGATTACTGTAACCGTACCCTTCCCATGTAATTTACCTCTGTCGATCACATCCCCCCTCCTATACAATTCACTATATTTTGTAACAATTCCGAATTTGTTACTATTGTGAAAAATGGAATCAACACCCCTCGAGGAACAGGTTCCTCTGCCTGGACAATGGCCTGCTGATCCCCAGGAGGATCTACCAATATCGGAGGACCGACTTTGGGTCGATGGATGCTTCGACTTCAGCCACCACGGTAGGTTTACAATTACCACCTAACCAATTGCTGTGAACTAATGGAGGGATTGCTCTACAGGTCATGCCGGTGCTATGCTTCAAGCCCGCCAGCTAGGAAAGGCCCTTTACGTGGGAATACACTCCGATCAAGCTATCCTCGAGAACAAGGGTCCGACAGTGATGTCACTCGAAGAACGGTTGGTTTGCTCGCATATCGGTCTAGCTGTTGGGATCTGATACTAATGCCACTGTTATCTAGTGTCGCAGCCGTTGACGCGTGTCGATGGGCTACCCAGAGTGTTCCCTATGCCCCCTACGTTACCTACCTACCCTGGGTATCCCACTACGGATGCAAATATGTTGTCCACGGAGACGATATTACCTCCGACAGTGATGGAAATGACTGTTACCGCTTCGTTAAGGCCGCTGGACGGTTCCGTGTCGTCAAACGTACCCCTGGCATATCGACAACCGATCTTGTTGGCCGCATGCTGTTGTGCACCAGGAACCACTTTGTTAAATCTGTGAAGGGTACACTCGCTGGACTGGAAGGGTATGGAAGTCCCGAGGAGCGCAAGGCTTCTGCTACAGATCTTTTGCAGAGAATCAAGGATTATGCGACGGACGAGAGCGGTCTTCAGCCTGGCCCTCAGGTGTGGACATGGACTGGCTCCGGCACCGCGAAGATGGACCATCTCGCCGAGGAGGCTGGCCTGTTCGAGACGTTGGTCGATGGAAAGGGACCCAAACCCGGGCAAAGGGTTGTTTATGTTGACGGAGGGTTCGACCTCTTTTCCTCTGGCCACATTGCATTCCTGCGCAAAGTCACAGAGCTTGAGGAGGCCGAGGGCCGGAAACGTGGCTGGTATGAGCCAGATCAAGTTGCAAAGAGGTTGAAGGATTACGGAGAGGACTATGCACCATCCTATATTGTCGCAGGTATCCATGATGACGATGTGATCAACCATTGGAAAGGCTTGAACTACCCGATCATGAACATTTTCGAACGTGGTCTCTGTGTTCTTCAATGCCGCGTAAGTTTTACCCGGTTTGCTTTCATCTATTCAATTTGCTAACCTTTCGCTGAAGTACATCAATGCTGTTATCTTCTCTGCGCCATTTACCCCCAGCGAACCATACCTGAAGGCAATCCCATGGGGCACCCCCGATGCTGTCTATCATGGACCCACGACCTTCATCCCGCTAACATATGATCCCTACACTGCTCCCAAGAAGATGGGAATATTCCGGGAAGCCGAGCAGCATGCCTTCCAACATGTGAACGCTGGCGAAATTGTTGGTCGCATCCTCAAAAGCCGTGAAGCTTATGAAGCCAGGCAACGCGCAAAGCTGGACAAGGCCATTGCTGAGGATCTGGTGAAGTCACAAGAGGCAGCTCAAGCAGCTCAGTAGGCTGGGGACCTCGGGAATTTTGTGAGAAATACTAATTATGTAATGAAGATCAACTGTACATATGATGTTAGACCTCATCAACTGGGGTTTCTTCTTGAACAAGTGTCTACCTCATTCGTTTGCATGGCGGCTTGTGACAATTGGTCTACTAGAGCAGATAGATTGGAGATTACCTTCCATTTGTCAAATTTAAAAAACAACTATCTGACCAGCAGGATATTAGGACCAGAATACATTAACGAAAAATAATTTTACAGAGACAGCCATCTATCAAATTGATAGACTGACATCTTCCACTCGGACTCGGCTGTTATTTATTCATCCGCCGCAACCAGGACACCCTTGGTCTCCAGAAGCTTGGCAAGCTCGCCATTTTGGTGCATGGACATCAAGATATCACAACCACCAATGAACTCCTTGTCGAGGTATAGTTGGGGAATAGTGGGCCACTCAGAGTATTCCTTGACACCTGTAAACGCAAGACGATTAGCAATCCAAATCCGGCACAAGTTCACTCGATATAATCTCAACATACCTGAGCGCAGCTCCGCATCCTCTAGCACATTGAAAGCAACGAACTTCTTGGGATCAACACCCTGCAGGCCGAGAATTTGAATGGTGGCACGGGAGAAACCACATTGGGGAGTCTCGGGTGTACCCTTCATGAACAGAACGACGGGGGCGGAAGAGACCGCCTTATCGATCGCTGTCCGGGTCTCGTTGGACAGAAGGCGTGCATGGAGGACAGAAGGAATAGAAGGGCCCGAGGGGAACTGGATGGCCGAGCGGACGGGGCGCAAAAAGGTTGGTCGTGAGACCGGGCGGAAAGCCTGGATTCATGTGAGCCAGGGAAATCTTGCGGGAGAATATTCTATACGTACCGATGCAACTGCTCTGGAAAACATTTTGAAAGTGATGGTTACAAAAGAAGAGGTAAAGTTGCCTCGGGGAAAGTCTTGGAGGTTTAGTATTATTTAATCAGCGGTTGGTCCGACGGGTCTGTCGATCCCCACACTTCTAAGCTCTCTAGGGCTCTATGAACCAGTCATCTTTTTATTCTTCAGTCTTTTTTTGCCTCTGTAAGCCTCTTTATCTAGGCATTGCAATGGATCCTCAAATATCGCCTTTTACTGCCCAGCAGTGTACAAATGACAATAAAGTCCATGTGCTGCTGGCAGCCGCTACCATTAAGCTGCCCAACATTGCAGAGGCGCTATGTCGTAATAAAAACATATCAGTCCGCATCCTGGTCACCGAGCCAGAGAAGTTCCTTGTCGGACAGAGCTTGGAGCAGCCGGCTCTCGACACTCTGCTTCAAATAGAGGGCGTGGACGCTATCTACCGGGATGAAGATGAATGGTCTCCGTCGTGGACGCGCGGGGCACCGGTCCTGTATATTGAGCTGCGCAAATGTCAGTGGCTATGTATATACGTGATATATTATACAATGAATCAACTGACATCATCATAGGGGCGCATGTTCTACTGGTTGCCCCAATGTCTGCAAATACCATGGCGAGAATGGCCAATGGGATCGCCGATAATCTACTTCTCTCGGTCATCAGGGCCTGGGATACGACTGGAGTAGTGGATATGGGATTCAAGACTCAGAAGCCTATGGTATTTGCAGCGTTGGATATGGACCCCTGTATGTATCGACATCCAGTGACCGAGAAGCAGCTTAAAGTCCTATGTGATGAGTGGGGTTTGAGTGAATCAAACCCCAAAGGCTGGGTGACGGTGCTTCCTCCCATAGAGAAGAGCCTGGCCAGTGGAGATGTCGACACCGGAAACATGATGGATTGGAAAGATATCGTCACTGTCATCCAAAACTATGTGGCGGGGTTGGCGCGGAAGCCGTGAACAAGAAAAAGGAACCAATCCTTGAACGCCTATCTATATTGTTATACATGTTTATTGTGTCGACTCGGCCACGCGCTCCGGCTCCGTCGTATTGTACAGACCAAGGTATTGCATCACATACTCGGCGAGCAAGCCCAAGGAGATCCCTCCACCGGTCAGCAGACATCCATTCTTGAACCACCACCAGCAGTTCCGAACATTCTTCAACTGAACCTTCCAAATCATGAGACCAAGCGACAAAACGGCACTGCCGCAGCTACCAACGAAGAACACAGGTCCGCAACCGGCAGCAACTCCCGCGGCCGCGAGGAGCGAGACCTGGGCCACCGCCAGACCACTCAGGACAGCCTTGGTGTTGTGCTCATGGCGGAGGGCAATTGACTTGATACCGGCCTTGACATCGTCTTTAATGTCCATGTGTGCATAAATCATATCGTACAGAACTGTCCAAGCAATACAACTGGAATAAAGGGCACCTGCAGCCATCATGGCATCATGATTGGCAAGCAGGTCCACCCCCAACGCTGGGAATCCCATGATCGCTCCCCATGAAAAGGCAAGACCCAAGACAGCTTGCGGGTAATTGGTCACGCGCTTAGCAAGCGGATAGGCCACCACGATGGGCATGCTAGGAAGCCCATACCAAAGGCACTGAGTAGGGAACGAAAGAAGCACGCCCAATCCAGCCACCAACTGTGAACCCGTAAAGAGGACCGCCTTTTTCGGCGAGAGTGCACCTCTGGCAATGGGTCGGAACTTGGTGCGCTCGACGTGAGGGTCCAGGTTTCGGTCCCATAGGTCGTTGATCGCGCAGCCTGCGCCGCGCATGATCAGTGCACCGGAAAAGAACAGTGCTGATGTACCCAAGACATGAAGCGGTGCCACACCAGCCATTGGCGCAGCGAGGAGGGTAGAAAAGAGAGTTGGGAAGAATAGGTAGTATGTGCCCGTGGGCTTGTCCAGCCGCACCAATTCCGCATACGGTATCCATGAACTCGGCAGGGAGGCAATCAAGCCTGTCTTCGGTGGGGTGTAGTGAGTGGCTGGGTTCTTCTCTGCACTATCCGTCTCGATTGGTTGTGTTGGGGGCGGTTGCAACTGCGAGCTGTGTCGGACTTGGATTTGTGTTGTTCGTAACGCGTTGTATGAGACGACAGCGAGAGATCGGCTGCCGTTCAATTGCGTTGAGGAACAGGCATTGTGAGCGAGTGTGGAAAGGCGCCCATTGTATAGACCAGTGAGGTTGACCTTCTGCCTATATGGGGATAGTCGAGCGCGGAACAGGCGGGAGCTGGTGGAAAGCATGGTGAGGGCCGGGAATCTAGAAACCGAACATGGGTTAGGGTAATTGGCAGGCAATATTCATATTCTTCTCAGAAGCCTTTAAGGTCTGGCCATTTGAAGATCCGGAGATGTCGGTACTTAGATCGTCAAGCAGGAAAAAGCGGCTTCGTTCCTCCCCCTAAGCCTATTTGGGGCATCAGATCTATGGAGTCGCCTCACAATATACTGCAACTATACTGCAACTATACTACAACTACTCATTATACATTGAGCTAAATAGTAGCAAGATGCATTCAATCTAAAGAAAGAGGTTAGATCAACTCCAGGGCCCCTTGTAAATATAAATGTAGGTAAAATGGTGAAATAAGAGTGACAGTTCACGTGTATGTTTCTGCCTGAGGCCATAAAACGCGGCATCCCGCGTTCCCCCAGAAGTTGATGATCGCCCGAATTGAAGGGAATGCGGTATAATTTTCTTTCACGTCCCTCTATCCGATTCCATACCTCTTCACTTACGAGCTTAAACTGACATATTCTACTCTCCGATCCCATCGACTGTGTACCCGCCCACTCCTCTGCTCCTTCCCACTGTCAATCATCTCAACCAACCACCACCTCGCCAGCACAAGAGAAACAGCAAAGAACAGCGCAATCCACCCAGCCAGTCAACAATAATAACTCACATGCAACCTCAACATTGCCTTCGACTACCAGCCGTGTCCCTCAAACCATGATCTTCGCTCCTGCGATCTTCGCGCTGATTACAGTCTAATAACCATTGATATTTTGCCCCCTCTTGGGCTCTGCACTCGCCATGCCGGCGCATCGAACTCGCCTGGCTTTTGAGCCACTGTCACCTCTCCTCAATATCAATAGGGTTGTTGAATCCACTCCCAATTTTGAGTTTGCGATGGAAATCACATGTGATTCAATTGACGAATTTCCGCTTGAAGACTTTGAGAAGCTAGTCTTGTACCAAGTTGTCCTGAGCGGAAGACCATTGGTCATCAGAGGATTTCAAAAACGTCTTGACAAGGGTCTTTTCTCGGAGAAATGGCTTCGAGAAAAATACGCAAAGAAAGGTGAGCTCGCGCTATTGAGTCATCTCATCCTTCATTGATTGATGCTAACTGCAGCTTCTCTTAATAGTCGAGGAAGTTCGAGATCTAGGGAAAAAGAAGTCTTTTAATTTCAGTATGGGTCACTACCTGGAAAGCCTGTCACTGCTCACTCGGCAGGTGACTGTGCACAACTACACAAACAAAGCCGTCCAACGACTCTACCTCAAGGATATCGACTGCCCCCCCGAGTGGCGCGCTTATCTTGAGAACCTGTTACCGCCTTCATTGTTCTATCTCAATGAAGCACCCAAAGCCTTTGAAGGCCCTGCGTCACAAAACACGAACCTGTCTAAAATCCTCAAGTCCACAGAAGGCGACTTCATCGCGCCAGCGGGCGATTTGATGAGCAGTCTGCCTGAAAACATGCGGGCAGAGAACCTGATGTGCTATATCGGCCATGAGGGTACTTACACGCCAGCACACCAAGAAATGTGTGCCAGTCTCGGTCACAACATAATGGTCGACGCGTCCGACGGGACTCCAGAAAACGGCAAGCCAACGGAGCCGGGTTCTTCAATATGGCTCATGACAGAGACCAAAGATCGGCGGATTGTTTCTGAGTACTGGATGTCTGTTCTTGGGCATGATATTGACATTGAGGATTTCTTTGCTCCCTTGCATGCATGGGAGATTGCACCATTCAAGACCTGGGTAGTCGAACAGCGACCCGGTGACCTTATTCTTGTACCCCCTCTTGCTGCACACCAAGTCTGGAACCGCGGCACTCGGACGATGAAAGTCGCCTGGAATCGCACTACCGTGGACACGCTCGAGCTGGCTCTGCGTGAAGCCTTGCCACATGCGCGAATGGTCTGCCGCGATGAACAATATAAGAACAAAGCCATTGTTTACTTCACTCTTGAACGGTATTCAAAATTGCTGCGGCAAGCAAAGACGGTCGACCATCCGGCGGTGAATCAACTGTGGGATGATTTCAAACGACTCTTCAATATGTACAAGAACATATTGTTGTCTGAATCCTTCTCGCAAAAAAACCCAGAGAAGAACGTGGAGTATCACGAGTTTCAGAGCAATGTCACCTGCTCATTTTGTCGGTGCAACATCTTTAACAGGTTTCTTACCTGTCCTGGCTGCGTAAATACTCTTGGTGGCGATGAAGACCCGTATGATGTATGCATGGATTGCTACGTGATGGGTAGAAGCTGTGGCTGCGTTTCCAATCTTAAATGGATGGAACAATTCCCATGGAAGCAGTTGACAGAACGCTATGAAACATGGCGACGGTTGATAATTTCCTCCAATGACAACAACAAGGATTTGAGGATTCAGTTCCCTACTTTTGTTGTCGCCCGCGGTCAGGCAGGCAAAAGGTCTGTAGCGGAGATCTGCCAACAGCAATTGGTGCGCCGCCCCTGGAATGACCCGAAAAACCCCAAGCCCATGATAGAGAATATGATCGAAGACCCTGGTAGCGACTCCGACGGCAACAGTCGTTCTAAAAAGAAGCGCAAAATGCGGCAGTCTCTCATGGCCAAATCAGACAACGTCTACCGGTGCCACGTCTGTCTTCATTTCGAAGTCGACTGGAAGCTCGCTCCATGCTCAAATTGTGACCAACGTTATTGTTATGGCAGTTTGTTCCGAGCTTTCGAAATTTCCCCGCAGGAGGCCATGGAGAAACACCATTGGCTCTGCCCGAAGTGCCGCAAGGAATGTAGTTGCGGCGCTTGCCAGCGTGATCCGTCTATGAAGCCATATGAACCTAACTGCACCATTCTCGGCCATGACACCAGCAAGGTTGCCGATCCGCGCAGCATCGAGACCTTGGTGGATTTCCGGAAATCGAATCTGTGGTGGTTGAAGAAGTTCGGTGATGATGTTCATGGACGCATTCAAAAACGCCAGAAGGAAGCCGAGGAAGCGGAACTGGAGCGACAGAAGACCCTTGAAACCCAGGGCTTCAGCTTCGAGTCCAGCCCATTCGACCAGCCGGTACAGAATGGAAACGGGAACGATGAAAATCCTCTGGTGTTTGATGAGAACGATGGGGGCATCCCCGTTGATCCATCGCTGATTGTCCAGACCTCTGTTACAGGCACTTGAATCGGGTCGTGCACTTTGCCAGATTCGAGCATACGATCGGGATCACTTGCGAAAGATGATCCAAAAAGATCAAAGGTTACTTGTGGGATAAGTGTATTCCGGCGAAATACGATGAGTAATGAATATTTGCGAATGGGTTTTTGATTCAGGAAATCGGAAGGATGTATGATTTGTGATTCCCCGAAGGGTTTATCTCTTCTGCGACACCATGGTTTAACAAAAATCTGGTTGTACTCTAATAATGAACATACGTATTTTCAAGTTGAAATCAAGTTGAATTCGTGAATTACTACTAGGCACCTTTGTACTCGTACTGTAGATCCTTGAGGGATGCAAGGTCAACAGAGAGCATGACCTTTTGAGCAAGTAGAATCACTGCGAGCATGACTGTACATGGTCAGACTTGGTATCTCCAGCCGCGAAAGAAGAGACTTACTTCCAGGGATCAAGTACAGCACTGGCCGGATCCCATAGGATGATCCTGTAGAAAGATAGACCAGAGCCAGCAACAAGCAAACGGCACCGGTGCCAGGTACCAGAGCCGCATGAATCCGAGCAATACGTTCGGTATGGAACGTCATAGGCTTCTTGCCTTTGCGATCAGGCTGGAGGGGAGAGCATTTCATGATATAGGCCGTTGTCAACAACGAGACAAGGCTGAGGAGCGAGAACAATCGTTCAGACTGGCTGGAAGCTGACAGCACCGAAGGGACAAATACTGTAGCAGCCAACAGTGGAAGTGCAGTAAAAATCATCTAGGAAGATATTTAGCATGTATTCTCTCAACTATAAAGAAAGAAAGATATGTACACTGTACTGGGCATTGCGGGCATCGTTCTGGCTCTGTAACTGCTCGATGACCCGTTCTTGTTCTTCTTCATCCAACTCCTCTCGCTCGCCCTCTGATTCCTCGGGGTATCGAAACGCCTTTCGCAATCTCACTGCAGCCATTTCTTGAAATCACAAAATCAAAACAAAAGCGTTGTATCCCCAGCCGTTGGTGGTGCAGTGACGTCGAAAGGTCAAAGCTGTTTGTCTTGTTTGGCACTCTTTTCTTCCGCAACCTCCCCCCAAATCCAACCATCAGCCCGCAAATCACCAAATAAGCCCCCCAAACACAGCTATGTCTTTCTTCCGAGTATTCACGCGGCGCGTGGCGCTCGCTCGGAAACCCACACGACCCAACACAGTCAGCCGACGGACAATGATTGCAGCTCCAGGCCCGAACGCAGGACCACTACTGGAACGACGTGCGGACCGCGAGCTACCGAACCCCAAGCCAGGCCGAAAGTGGCTTTACACATTCCCGATTTTCGCTCTGGCGACGGGAGCAGGCATGCTTGGAATCTTCAATTACCAGAAGTCGTCGTCGAGCATCGTAAGCAGCACCCTTTATGCGCTGCGGACGTCGCCGCGAGCTCGCGAGATCCTGGGCGATGAGATCTACTTTGCGCAGCAGATTCCTTGGATCAGTGGCGAGATGAATCAATTGCATGGTCGCATTGATATCTCGTTCTGGGTTAAGGGGACTAAGTCTGAGGGCAAGATGAGGTTCCGAAGCATTCGACCGGATCGTATGAGCTATGTGAGTTTTTGGTCTATTTGGATTATGACATGTCCTGCAATTGTCGCTGACTGATTTTCTCTTCTAGTTCCGTACTGAGGAATGGAGTCTGGAGACTGAGGATGGAACGGTGATTCAATTGCTCGACGGTGATAAGGATCCCTTCCAGAAGAACTGAATATCGGGGGAGAAGTGTACAGATACAGCAGTGCATTGGCTCGGGCGTTTGGGGACATTCTTTATGGGACCATTTGTTGCGTTATCAACTTGGC